CGTCAGAAGTGTCACAGGGCTGTTTAGGCTTTTGCCACCGAAAAGGCTTTTGTACCAGGCTAAGCAATTAGCAAGCAGTTCTGAAGTACCTGTCAAGCAGTTGATAAGCACTTACCACCAGCCGAATCCACCTCGCCCTGGCTGACCCGGCCTCCTTTATCATCCTTGCCCAAGATCACACCGTCATGGGACCGCACATGCGAGCGCAGATTGTTTGTACTGGAGAACCGCTTCTGAAGTAGTTGAAAAGTAGTTAGTATAGTACTGTATAAGCAGTTGGAAAGTACTTACCTTGCGCTTGCCGCATTCATCCACGCGACAGTAGACCTCACCGTAATGAATCTGAACCTCACCACCCGCATTCTAAGCAGTTAGCAAGCACTTGTCAAGTAGTTAGAAAGTAGTTAGAAACTCACGGTATCAAACTCAGGCAACTTGAGGTGCCCGGCTTCGACTTCACGCAAGTACCACACGTACCAGGACTATTTCATTCGAAATTTATCAGTTTTTCATCAAAAAATCACTTTGGAATCACTTTCTTATCATACAAATGATAATAAGCAATAAATAAGACCTTAATAAGCAGTTATACTTACATTTTCGCTCAGTTGAGCCATGGTTGCGGATGTGGGGAAGAAGAGGGAAATGATTGGTGGTGGGAGGTGTGGTGTGTAAGTGTACTGAAAAAGGTGATGTGGAATGAAATTTTCTGTTTGTGTAGGTAACAGGGTCGCTTGGAAGTCACATGATCAAACTGCTTATTAAGCAGTTTTCGTTCCACGCGACCCGAAAAAGCAGCACAGCTGATCTGCAACCACCCCATTTTCTTCCTTAATTCTTCCTAATCTACTTTGTAATATCACTCCCCCCCCCCAAAAAATCCTCTCTCCCCAATTTCGCTACGGATCGGCCGGATCCCCGGCTGGGCTCAGCAACAGTCATTCCGTCCTTGAACTATTCCCTATAATTATCCCCGAGGGCTCGCTTCGCTTTGCTCCCCTCCTTCCCCCCCCCCCCACCCCCTTCCCCCCTCTCCCCTCTCCTCCCCTCCCCCTTGACTTTTAAGTTAACTTGCTCTGCCCTGGTCGGTGTGTTACAAGGTCATTGGTCAACGTCAATATAACCCGGACAATTGAACCCGAAGGTGCCATTATCTCCGGGACCAGCAGCCAAGGACCTTAAACGATCTAAATCAGAGCATGCGATCATAGCGCTGTGTGTGTCTGGACTTCCATCCCTCGGCGCATTGGCGGCAACCTTTCTTGTTTCCTTTCATCTTTCTCCCCTCCCTTGAACAAATATAGAAATCAACACGCTTCGCGAAACGTGCTACCCCCCTTCCCTCCCTTGCGCCTCGACTCAGGATGCATGCAGAAGCGTGATTGATACTCTCTATCCCCGGCAATTGCACATTCAAAAACACACCCGACACCCCCTATCGCATTTGACTTTCACCTGCCGGAGATGAAGCCTCAGGGCCTGCTGGCCGTCGTCTGCACGATCGGGTCTCTCGCCACGGCCACAATAGTCACTTCTTTGCCCAACTCGCAACCCCAACCGGCGGTCCATCACACCTACGGCGAGCTGCTGAATCACAACGATCCGGACCCGTTATATGAGCAGTACGGACTGAATCGGTCGGAGGAATTCAAGTATTTCCAGGAGCCGGGCAACGATGACATTCTCGGCCACTATGACTCTCGCTTTTTCACAAAGCCCGTCCCCGACGAGGAGCGATCCCACACCTTGACGCACATGATCCGCGCATATCTGAACTTTTTCGAGGACAATGGGCTCGAGACGTGGATCGCACATGGGACGCTTCTCGGGTGGTGGTGGAACGGAAAGGTAAAAAAACCCCCTTGCTCGCTTTCCCCACACAGGCCCCTCCGTGGCGCTTCCTGGTGTCACTCAAACTCACGCTAGGATACAGGTCATGCCTTGGGATTGGGACATTGACACCCAAGTGATAGAACCCACGCTTTTCCAACTAGCGGACCATTTCAACCAGACCGTCGTCCAGTACACCGCGAAAGAGGAGAATGTGGAGCGCAAATACCTCGTCGACGTGAATCCGTGGGCCCGTCAACGCGATCGAGGCAAGGGACTGAACATCATCGATGCGCGCTGGATCGACATGAACACGGGGTTGTATATCGACATCACGGGGCTGAGCCGGCTGGATGCGACCAAACCCACGGAGTGGCAATGCAAGAACTTGCACAAGTACCAGACCGGCGATATCTATCCTCTGCGCCGGACGACCTTTGAGGGAGTGCCAGCTAAGGTGCCGTTCAAGTACGATCAGGTCTTGGAGGATGAGTACTCGAAGAAAGCGTTGACAAACACGCACTATCATGAGTGAGTTGATTTTCTGGAATTATGGACTGGGGTTTTTCGGTTGCTAACGTACCCCGCCTGTGCCAGCCATACTTTTGATCCTGAACTCGAAGAATGGTTGATGGATGAGCCGGAGCCGAAGGAGACGGAGGACGATAAGGACGACCGGCAGTATGAATGATGCTGGTCGTGGAGAGGTATATAACCACCTGAAGTTTTTCTTTTTTTCGTTACCGCTGTGACATGCATCCATTTGGGCATACTGTTGGGTATATAAAAGGGTGTTGGTGGGCGTTCTGGATGATATGGGATGGCGTTGGGTTGTCTAGGATTTATACAGGCCAGTCAATACTATTTAATTGATCTAGTGAATTGAATCGAATACCGAGACTCGATCGAGTCGTGTTGCATACAGCATTCACCATTGAGCAGATGAAGGGATAGACCAGTTGTACATGTGGAGCTGGAGGTATAACTCAAACAAGCACTCTAATTATTGGAACTCTACTCGAGGCAGCCTACACGTAATCGGATTGAGAATAAGCAGCGACGATCATTACTAGGTGCCTGGGACTTGGTGCCTGAGGCAGGGAGCCAGGAACGGTTTAGTCACAGGAACGGAGTGCTTGTGCTTATCTCCATGTGATTTTATCCGGCTGACAAAACCGCATCGAAGAAGATCGAATCCCGCCATCATGGAGTCGAGGAGTCTCTTTTATATCGCCTTAAATCTGACCACCACGATTCAATCCCTGCTATACCCCTCATCCTCCTTTACATCACCACAATATCGCTCACCATAAATCCAACATGTCCGACACGCCAACCCCACCGATCGAAGACCATACCGTTCACGAACCTGACACCGCCGACGAGCAACCCCAACTCAAGCTCACCATCCACCACCGCAACACCGCACACACTCTCACCCTCCCAGCGAACGCCACCCTCCACGACCTCACCCTCCACCTCGAAACCCACCTCAACATTCTTCCCTCGCACCAAAAACTCCTCATCACCCCTCCCCCGCCCCGCAACCTCATCCCAGGCACACTCAAACCCCCCCTCCCTTCCTCCCACGCCGCCCTCCCCCTCACCACCGCCCTCCCGCTCACCTCCCCACGCTTCAAACTCACCGTGCTGGGCTCCCCCAACCCCGAAATCACGGCCCTAAACGCCCAAGGCGCCGACCAAGCCGCGCGCGAACGCCTCCGCCGTACCACCCACGCCAAATACGCCGCGGCCGCCACCCCCGCCGCCGTCGCATCCTCCCTCTCGCGCGTCCACACCCTATCTTCTGGAAGTGCTGACGAACAGTACACCTTCCACAAACTCCTCCCCCTTCCGCACCTCCCCAACCCACAACGCAGCCACGACTTCCTCGCGCGCCTCCGCGACGACCCCGGGATCCGGTCTGCGATGCGCCTGCATAGATTCTCCGTGCCCTTGCTCACGGAGATGGACCCCATCGAGCACACGACGGCCCACTCGCGGACGCTGGGGCTGAATAGGAATAAAGGCGAGGTGATCGAGTTGCGGCTCCGCACGGATGCCTATGATGGGTACCGCGATTATCGGACGATCCGCAAGACGCTGTGTCATGAGTTGGCGCATTGTGTGCATAGTGACCATGATCGGTTGTTTTGGGAGTTGACGGGGCAGATCGAGCGGGAGGTGGAGAGGGGGGATTATACGAGGAGTGGGCGGGTGCTTGGGACGAATAGTAGGGGAGCAGGGGGAGGGGTGGTGGATGAGTTCTATAATCCCGGGGAGTGGGAGGAGGTGCAGCGGGACGGGTTGGTGGTTGATGAGAAGGGGTGGACGGGGGGGAGCTTTGTTTTGGGGGCGGAGAGGGGGTCTGAAGGTGAAGGGGGGAGTAGGAGTCAGGCCACTCGGGGAGGAAGTATGAGGGAGATTTTGGCTAAAGCGGCGGAAGAGAGGATGAAGAGGGAGAGGGAGAGGGATGGGAAGTAGAGCATAAAGTCTGCTTGGATGCTTGGATTGGATTCTTTGTCTGCAGATATCTTCCAGATTCACAATTCTCACGATGTAACGACACCATAATCGAATTCAAATTCAAACCTGTTCATTGACAAACAACCCCGCCATCCCCTGGCCAGTCCCAATGCACATACTCGTCACCAAGACCCTTTTCTTGGTGCGGCGCGCCTCGCTCAGAATCGTACAGATCTGTCTCGCCCCCGTCGCTCCGAGCGGGTGGCCCAGCGCAATCGCGCCGCCCCGGGGGTTGACCTTCTCGTGCTCCAGCCCCAGATTCCGGAGACAGTAGACGGCCATCGACGCGAACGCCTCGTTGATCTCATACAGCTCGACCTCCTCCTTGGCCAGCCCAAACTGCGCCAGCAGCTTGGGGATCGCCGCCGTCGGCCCGATCCCCATCACCCGCGGCGGCACGCCGGCCACCGTGGCGCCGCAGAACTTGGCCAGGATGGGCTGATTCAACTCGATCGCCTTGGACCGGCGCATCAGCAGCACCGCCGCCGCGCCATCCGTCACCTGGCTCGAGTTGCCGCCGGTACTCCGATCCCCAAACTGCGGGAACGCCGGCCGAATCTTGGCCAGGCTCTCCTTGGTCGTGCCGTAGCGCACGCCTTCGTCCCGCGTCACGGTCACCGTCTTGACCTCCCCTGTCTTGGGGTCTTTGACCTGCGTGGTGACGGGCACGATCTCCTCGTCGAACCACCCGGCCTTCTGCGCCGCCTCGGCCCGCCGGAACGACTCTGCCGCGTACGCGTCCTGCTCCTCGCGCGAGATGTTAAAGTCCGCCCCGACGTTCTCCGACGTCTGGCCCATCGGCTGCATGCAGTCGGCCGCCTCCTGGTGCCGCATGACCTCCGCGTGAAACGGCTTGGGGATCCGGTCCCCGCTCGGCGCCGACATCAGCTCCGCCCCCACCGCCACCCCGACGTCGATCGCCCCCAGCTGGATCTGGTTCGCGATGTCCTGCACCGCTTTCAGCCCCGACGAGCAGAATCGGTTCACCGAGGAGCCCCCCGCCGTGTGCGGGATTCCGGCGGCTAGCGAGGCCGCGCGCACGAGGTAGGCCGCTTTGCCGTCGTTGACCTTTGATCGGTTATGTTAGTTTCATGTAGATTGGAGATTGAAAGGGAGTGAGTAAGGCAAACGCACATTCCCCAAGCAGACATCCTCGATCAGACTGGGATCGATCTTCGATTTGGCAAGCACCTCCTTCAGCAAGGCGTAGATCAGGTAGTCCAGCTCGGTATCCTTGAAACTGCCCTTGACGGCCTTGGTCAGCGGCGTCCGGAGCGCGAGAGTGATGACCACATCGTCGGGGTTCTTCTGGGTGCTGGTTTGCGGTCATTCGCGGTCAGTATATTCGCAATGTACAAGTTTCTGGAAAGGAGGAAAAGTACATGGCAGAAAGTCCGCCGGTTCCGGACGGTTTCAGGTGGCTGAGGATGTTGTTCAGACGGTCTGCTGCCATGATTATTGCTGCGTTTTGCTGTTAGCGTTCGAGCATGCAGGTATAGCTTATCCCTTGACGCAGGCTATGTGGTGAAGTGGAGCGGGGGGAACGGGAATCCGGGGAAAGAAAAGATGACTGCTGCATCTGGATGTCGATTTCGAAATTGAAGCATGACGTGAGTAACTTACTGTGTTTAATTTTGTTATGAGTTCAAATGACTGAGTAAAGCAGATTGATGAGAAGAGGAAAGAAAGAAAGCAGAGGAGGGGAAGGTCGTCGAGTTGAAATGCGATGAATGTCTTACCTACCTTAACTACCCCAACCTCTCCAACCGAGCAACAGCCGAGGCTCATTTTTTGGCCACTGCAGCTGCTGTGCTGCTTACATCTCCGCACCCTTTCAACTCCCTGGTAGAGTAACTAGATCTGCCACAGACTAGAATGGTCGGGGACAACCCGAGGTTCCTTTCTGGGCTTACTCGTTGAAAATCATGTGTAGGCAACGAAACGATCCATTTTTTCCCAACAATTACTTTATCTACAGCTAAGGCCATGGGCGCATGTACGACCCTGGTAGTTCCGTTGTCCCAAGCTAAACACCATCAAAATAGAGAAGCAAACGCCAATACCTTCCTCCAGCGCCATCCGCCTAATGATACGATACCCTGAGTTGTTCTTCCAATTTGCCTACAAGTGGTGCATGTGCTCGTCGTTGCTGATCACACTGCCCACCTCCGACCAACTGGCCGGGGTGGCCGCGCCAGTCGACCGGCCCAGGTCGCTCAAAGTGCCATCGGATGATGCGTCGATCGCTGACTCATAAATGTGGCTGTAGCTATCGCTGGTGGACGGCGTCGAGGCGCGCTCCCGTTCAAGCTGCAGCTCGGCCAAGTCCGAGAAGGGCGATCTCAGGTCGCGCCCGGATTCGTTTGTCGTCCAGTCCCCAGGATGAGCATAAAGCACTTCAGAGTGACCTTCCGTATGGCTAGAAATCGATTCGTCATCTCCGACAACATGGTGTTCATCCTCGGCATGGGACGTCGAGAGGAGCGACGTGGCCATTTTGTCAGGAGCTTCAGAGACAGGGGTGAACTCAGCCAGCGAAGGCGAACCGGCACGAGGCGACGGGATATCGAGCTGCAGCGGTGGACCTAACTCGTGAATATCTGTCTGGCCGTGAGATGCTTCAGGAAGCGAGGCTGGCCCCTTGCCCCGGTGCACCGGCTGCGACGTCGCCACTTCCACGGCAGTCGAGTTGGCTAACGGTGTATCACTCGATAGATCCGCAAGATCCAACAACCGGCCCTGCTCATCGACCAAAGTATCAAAGCTGTTTGACGGTGGCCTGGCCATGCCTTTGCGACGCTCTTCGAGCAAGGAGCGACGCCGGTCAAGCTCTTCCCGAGCTATTCGCCGCCGTTCTTCGGCTGCTGCGCCAACTTCCTCGGTCATGGAGATATCCTGTCTGAGCGGAGCATCGTGCGGGTTAATCTCGTCGCCCAGATTGTGCAAAGCTAGTGCGATCTTGCGGCGCGAGTTGTTCACCCACTGGCGGAACTGCGGCGACTCGTAGACCGCGATCCCGGCGGCGACCAGCGCCGAGACGGTGATGATAATTCCTGGGTGTGTCAGTACCATGATTCCAGGCTACCTTTCTGTGTCAAGCAGAATCTGTAAATGAAACTCTGAGTAGGAAACATGATAACCAAAATGAGGAATGCTGTCCGGCGAGGCCCGGGAATATCTCATCCATCGTCATCCATGATCAACTGATAAGCACACACCGCCCAGATAACTAACTCTCTTCTTCTCTTGCAACAAGAAGGGGGAAAGAAATGACCCTCAAGAGCAAGCATACCTTTCGCAACAGGCGTAGGCATCGCAACAGAGCACCTTTAACACGAGAGTTGTCGACAAGAGAAAGGGGAAGTCAGAGAGCAATAAGTAGGCAGGCAGCAGTAAGGTAGTTAGTCAATCGATCACCTGCTGCTTCCGCCCCTCGCCGCCACATGATTCCGGCTGCCCTTATCCGACTGCCCTAGCGGGCTATCACGTGCTGCAGAGCTGCCCCTCCGCGGTCCGTCAAAACAAACAGCTGCAACAACAGCAACCAGCAACCAGAAACCTCGCGGCCTTGTATACAACCACTCCTTACATCATTTCTTTCAACGCTACAACCCGATCATTGGATATCTCACCATGTCGCGCCCGTCATCCATGGCCCAGCGCCCGCTGACACTCACGGAAGAGCTCGAGAAGCTGGAGCAATCAATCACGCTCACCCTGCAGGGTAACTATGGACAATCCGCATTAGATGCCTCAAACCAGTCGACTGACACTGTCTTCTGCAGAGATCGACCACAACTTCAGTCAAGCCCATCGTATCGTCACAACCAGTGTTCTACCCCTGATCGAACAATACTCAGAGAGCTCCCGCGACGTCTGGGAAGGTGCCAAGGTATGGCCTACCATAGACACCCTCCCCCCCCCCATCATCGCCGCGTGAACCATCACTAACGCTCCATCAACCCAGTTCTGGAAACAATTTTTCGAAGCCAGCGCCAACGTCTCCCTCTCTGGCTACGAAGAGAAACCCGAAGACACCACCACAACGCTACAAGAGGAATCGGACCAGTCGCTCACCGCGCACGAGCAAGACGCGCAGCTCACCGCGCAACAAGACGAATCGCACCTCAGCCTCGACGACCACCGCGAGCACGAACCTGAATTGGAGTTGACAGCCCTCAGTCTCTCCTCCCACAGCACCCCGCGCCCCTACGCATCTCACCACCAGCACGGCAACCAACAACCCAACGACACAACCGTCACCTCCATCGCGCACCCCTCCCCATCCCCCTACGACCTCCACCCCGACTCCTTGCCCCTTGACAGTGATACCCGCGACCTCGCCCGCGCCGCCGAACTCACCGACGCAGAAAACGAGGACTCCTTCCTCCCCACCACCCCAGGCAAATACTCCGCCTCGGCCTCGGCCTCGCGCACCTACCGCCCCACCCAACAACAGCAGCAACAATACCCCTACCACCACGACGAATCCCACAGCCCACTCTCCTCCTCGCCCTTCATCCCGCCCGCCCCCACAACCACCCACGAAGCTTACGACAACAACGACGATGTTGATGATGATCATCACGAAGACCCCATCCTGCACCGCTTCCACGACAAGACCTACCGCGTGCAAGCCACCCCCCTCTCCAAGAAGCGGCAACCACTCAAACACTACCTCTCCACCTCCAAGTCCATCAAATTCACCAATCCCATGTTCAACTCCACCACCCCGCAAAAACCCCCCGCCAAGAAATCCAAATACTCCTTCGACTCCTCCCCGATCTCCAGCCCGGAGCCCGAGGCCCCGCAACTCCACGCCGAGATCTTCGACTCCCCCTTGAAAGGAGGAGGCGGGGCCGCCGCCACCGCCCAAACGCCCAACACCGGCCGCAAGCGTCGGCCGAGCGCCCACCACCCTTTCTATTCCCGCGTGACACCCAAGCCCGGCATGAGTGTCCTCACCCCGATGAAGGGTGGGACCGGTCGGCAGGGAGGAGGGTGGGATAGCGACGATGATGACATTGGTGGTCGCTACGGCGGCGGTGCGGCGTTCAGCGACGAGGACGAGGATCTGGGTCCCAGCCCTCCGAAGACGATGCAGTTCCATATCCCGCAGAGTCGGTTGATGAAAACTCCTGGTTAGTTTACCATCTCCCCCAATTGTCTACACATGCAATCCGTGTGGACACTAACCACATTTCTACCAAAAACTACAGCGAAAGAAGCGTCCAAGCGGATCGTGGAAGACTTGTTGTTCACCGCCGGAGCGAACGATACCACGGATGATATCGTGGAGGAACAGAGTCCGAGCGTGATCCGCCGGGTGGAGAAGCTCGAGGATGAGACTTTCTAGGGCAGAATCCACCTTCGCTGGTAATGGCCAGATGGCGATTTGTGCCACAGAGGCGAGACTTATCATGCTGTACCTACTGTATATACCAACCCAACTTATCTCGCGTTTCGTCACGGGATAATTCCCCTTTCAGGCCGCTGTCGTCCCTAATAGACTAACAATAACCGGGGCAAAGTATCATGTACGTCACAGCTGGGCGTAGCCAAGACTTCTAGTCGCTCAATCCCTGCTTCCTCCCATCTCTACATTTGACTCATGGTTCTTTCCAAGCGGTCCAACATGACCAGATCAATTAGTAGTTGGGTCTGGGGCATCCCAATTCGCCACCAGACCACGCGCCCCGGGCTGCCATACCGGCAAATTAGGTGTAAACTAGCTTCGAACCTGCGGGATCACTCGAAAGGAAAAGGTACAAAGAAAAAAGACAGAGCTCAGAAGAGAAAAGTGGGGGGTGATCAGATTACAAGATCCGGGTTTGTTTGAGAGGGTGAGGTCAGGATAAATAGACACAAAACAGGGTATCGACGGGGTTGATGACGATGACGATCGTCAGACTGTCAGAGAAGGGAGAAGGGCTGTAGGCAAGAAAGAGGAAAAGTGACACACAGATCGTCCACACCAACGTGGTATATGTATGTACAACAAAGGTTTTGTCGTCGCAATTGACAGGAAACTGGAAGGGTATTCTAAACGAAACAAATGAACCAAAGCGTCGAGGAGAGAGGGTCGGAGGATTCTTCCCCCTACCGGGCCAGTAAAGCAGTGCCGGCGCTGGTGCCAAACCACAGGCGAAAACCAGGCCTGAGTAGTATGCATGATGACTAAAGGCTAGTCATCAGTTCTGCATGCCCATGAAGATCTCCTGACAGTTGTCCACCAAAAACTTCATCACCTCATTTTTCTTCTGCACATCCGTCATTTCCCGTGCCAGACTCTCCGGCCGCATGATGGTCGGGGCAAACACTACAGCGATGTTCTGGCTGGTCATCAGATTCTCTTTCTCGCGCTCGACCACGCGCTTCAGGTGGAAGATCAGGAACTCAAGCACATCCTGATGCACACGTGGCAGTTCACGCAGGCTCTTTTGCAGAGACTCGATGCGACCCGCCTGAGAGGTAATTTCACCTGTCTCAATAATGTTCTCGTAAACCTCGAACGTGATAAGTGGCGTAGGCAGCTTCCGGAAATACTGCTTCAGCGCCGAAGTCACTGCGTGAATATCAAGATCCGGATCAGAGATATCGTAATCGTGCGGGGATCGCTCAAAGCCCTCGCGAATCGTCTGGATTGCCGAGCTAGCACCGGACTTCCGATAGATACCTTCCATGTCCATGCCTAAAAAAGTCAGTACAGGCCTAGCAGTAGATTGGGAAGAAACATACCTCGTAGCTCGACTTCCTGGATACAGCGAGAGACAATGCAAGGAATGATACTCTTCTCTTGCTCCATGCGCTGCTCCAACTCGGTACCAAAGAGTGCTGGATAAGTAAGTATCACATCATGACAAACGCGAAGAAGAACGTACCATTAGGGTTGGTTTCAGCTAGAACTGGAACGCTGTCGGTGGTCGGCATCCGAGTTCCCACCTGCTTGCTGCGTTGATTGCCAAAGAAACCGAAACCCGGACGGCTAGGGTCTTGAGTTTGAGAACGCGGCAAGCCAGGGCTTCCTTCCGTGGCAGTGGCATTTTCACTTGACATGAAGGCACCCTTAAGTCCCTTGGTAACGCCCTTGGCGACGTTCTGACCACCCTTCTTCCAGTTAAACTTACGCGGCTGTCCTTTTCGGATACTGACGACTTGCGGGCCGGGCACAATAGTGGCGTTCTCGGCCTCTTCCGACATGTTGATAGCCGTGACTGGAACGAGGTCGCTGTGGGCCGCCTTCAGGGCTTCAATAGACGACAGCGACTTTTCCTTGCCATGAGAGTAGATACCCAAGCCATTCGCCCCACGGCTGCCGTCGTTAGCCTTATAGAGCTCTTGGATCTGGTGTACCAATTGGTTGTTGAGTTCTGCAAGCTGCGCATTCTTCGACGACAATTGTTCGAATTCCTGGAAGCTCTTATCCTTCATACGGTTCAAGCTGATCAATTCCTCGGCGGCATCGTTGCGCTTCTGAATCAGTTCCTCAATCTGCGGAGTGAACGAGTCCTTCAGCTTCTGAATCGACTCCACAAATTCTCGCAGAACATGGTTAGTCAATTTGCCAAGGTCGAGAGAACCGCCGCCACCACGCTTCTCAGCCTCCAGATGTTCTGTCAACACGGATAACTCGCGCATAGCAATCTCTTTCTGAGCGTCCAAGACCACCATGGTGGAGCGCTTCTCATTTAGCTCGGTGTTGACCTGCTTGACCTCGGCGCTAGCGTTCAGCATAGCCTCCATCTCCGCGAGCTTCTGCTCGCGGTCGAATACTCGTTGACGCTCCTTACGAAGTTCGTTGCGAAGCCAAGTCACTTCATCGGATCCGGTTACTTCCGCAGAGGGGCTCCCAAAGTCCGCAAGTGGCGTGGATCCATTCACAGGCGAGCGGGGCCATTTGGCATCACGGGACAGGCGAGAGCCTTTGTCGCTGTAGCTTCGACCATGACGCACCGAGTTGGAAACGCGCCGCAAGAAAGACTCGCCGTTCTGTGCCGCGGAGCCATCGCTGGCGCCTATGGCTTGAGAAGTGTCTCCATCCGCTGAGAGATCCGCTCCATCACCCTGGCGGTAGGATTCCACTTGCTGTAGGGCGCTGACTGAGTTAGGGCGTGCGGGGGGCTTGGGGCGCTCATGAACATCGCTACGTGGTGTCCAGGTTGAGTCGCCCGTACGGGGAGTACTCTTGCTGAGTCCAGCCCGATCTGCTGACCGCTCACTCCACTGCTCACTCGGACTCAAGGAAGAGGCACGAGGTGACAAAGGTGCGTCCTTCCTTGGGCCCTGGTTCAATCGTCGGTCAAGGGAGTCGCCACGCTTGGGATGAGGCTGCACGCTCGAAGAGGACAAGAAAGAATGTGCGGAGTCGATTGAGCCGCTAGTTTCGTGAAGTCGGCGTAGCTCATGAGATGGTCTTGTTGGAAGTGTGGTCATGCTCTCTGGAGCTGTTGCTATTGAGCCATCTCTTGGTACGGTGGTCGTAGACTTGGTGCTCTCGGGGCTGGGCGAGGAAAATGTACTGGCTTCCTTGCGACCTCCTAAGTCGGAACGAGAACTATGCACCGAGCCAGACCGCGTGACAGGCGTTCTGTCACCACGAGACGTGCCGTTGGCCAACTCATCCTGACGCCAACGAGGAGCATCATCAGTACGCTCCCGGCCTTTCTCCTGATATGCGATATGGGGAGACGAGCCTCCCGACGTAGGCTTCGGTTGCGCGCGAGATCTTTGTTCTTCGGAGGGGTCAAAAGCGAGAGGAATCAGGAATTCACCGCCATCGGCTTCGCCATGCGGAGGCACAATTGAATGGCGATTGCTGCGATAGGTGCTTGACGGGAGTAATAGATTATCTGCATCTGTCAGCTCTCTTTCACCATGAGATAAAGGGTCTGGCATCATGGCAGAGACCAACTGACCTTGGTTTTCTGCCGCGGGACGAGGTGTTGCGCTGGGACCTCTTCCCGCGTCCAGCGCGGGAGCAGCTCGCGCAGGGGTATCCTCGCTGGGCATAGAATAAGCCTCTTGGTCGTCCGAGGCGCGCGAGACTGGTTCCATTTCTTCCGGGGGCAGTGACGGAAGGGACTTATCTAATTTCACCCCCGGAGGTCCCTGTTTTCGCGTGGGGGCCGCCTTTCGTTTTCTCCGCCGCTGCATCAACGACTCATGACAGTCCATACAGAATATACCTTGCGAGGTGCGGGCATAACGCAGGTTCTCGATTTTCCGCTTGCAGTTGCGGCAGCGGAAGCATTGGGCGCAGAAAGCTTGTTCACCGGTGAGGATTGCGAGGTCCTCGATCTTGTTCCCACACGAACTACAGCTGTAGGTACAGTTGCTGCAGATCAACGAGCCATCACCAAGCAGAAGGAGGTGCGCGTCCGAGTCGAGTAGCGTGCCACAGGTGCTGCAGCAGAAACATTCGATATGCCATCGGTTGCCCGCTAAATCACATGGAAGGAGGCAGTCAGCCACCGGCTCGAAGGCTATTATAACCACGGAACAAGAAACTCACCAAGCTCGAAGGCCTTGCCCTCTTCAAGAATCTATTTCAGCGAGAAGCCCTTAGTGCACTGTTTCCAAGCCTCGTATCTGTGCGGTTTTCTTGATTCATACCTCTCCACAGCCCTTACAGGGAAAAGGAATGTCGTCCTGGTCCAAAGGGGACTCAGGATACCCCGGGGATTCCATCTTGAATGCGATTTATGGAGTAGCGAGCGACCGTTCGAGGGTGATGGTGGCACAAACGCCAATTCCAGTAGGTGTGAGACAAATCTCCAGGAAGGGGGAGGGAGGCGCGCTCGCGAAACTCAAGCCAAAACCAGTTGAGAGGCTTATTCGGGTAGTTGATAAGGCATTCGACTTCCGATGAATAGACTTGGTGGTTGTGAGTCGGCAATGGTTATGATTGCAGCTATAGAGGGGAGCAAGGTAGGCGAGGGGAAGCTGGACGGGGGGACGAATTCGAGCGCGGCACGGACTTGCTGGAGGGTGGAGGATGGATTCTCATTTACAAAAGGGAGTCTAACGAGAAAGAATTAATTTCAGAACGGACAGCCGACCGATCACGGCCATAGTGGAGAAGGTGAAATAAAGTGGTGCAAGTTCGAGATAATGTAAAATGGTAGGAAGAGAGGAGGAGGGAGGAGTCCTGGACAAGAAATGTTGAAAGTTGCGCTGAGACGGGCCAGGGGCGCGAGGAGGGGGGCAAGAGGGGAGAGAACAAACAGGGGAGAAGAGGAGATGTACTGTACCATGCAGCAGCAGCAGCAAGCAGCAAGCAGGAAGGCAGGGGGGCCGCAGAGCTGAATATCCGGGGCAGCCTTAACAACCACCCGGATGTTTCAATGCGTCAGGACGAAACGGAGGGGAGGGGATCGAGTTAAAGGGAAGAGCGTCGAGGGAGAATAAGCAGCGGATGTGCTAGTAATTGTGAGAAGAGGTTAGATCGAGGAGGAAAACAAGTAAGAGAGGAAGGGAGTGAGTGAGTTGAGTACGAGTAAGTACGGGTACGGGGAGTGGGAGAGAGAGAGAGAGCAAGAGGGAGAAAGAGAGTTTTGAGGCCGCGATTGAAACACACCACGCGTTTCAGATAGACAACTCATGCCCGTGTCCCCAGATTTTCCCAATTAGCCCACTGACCTACGTTCTACTGACTGAACGGTTTGGATTATTGATATACAACTTGATTAAGGTGAATGAGTAAGGGTAGACTCCAAGTGTTAAGAAGTGAATAGTCTCTACAGATTTAATCAGTTTTGCAGGCCTCCCTGTCTCGTCTCAGAATACGAGACCATCCTGCTACAACAATACAATACTGTACTCCGTACACGGACTGTACACAGGCTGCGCAGTGGACATGTGTATATTCGACACCTGAGGCTAACAAGACAACCAACGAAACCAACCAACCAACAGCCAGTGGATAGTGATCGATCTATAAATATTTATAGTCGGGATTGTCTCATTCCAATCCAGGTACCGAGATCCTGGTCGTGTGAAATTAGAAGTCGTAACTTCGTAAGGTACTTCACTTCCATACTCAGCCACTCCCGCTTACAGTAACTTGGAACTCATGAATCAGAACTGCTCGAGTCGGTCTCAAATCTCCCCCACTCCGTCCCAGACTTCGGGATTGCCTGTAAATATCCAAAAATAAGCCCTGACCCACGCGGCTTTACCTTGTCTCGGGAATCAACCCGGTGAATGATCAGAGCTGGTGCTATAGTCTATACCGATTGATATCAAAACTACATACATCAAATCGGCAGTGAATCTCGGGCACATGTATGGTAAGTATCTAAGGAGGGAGTAGTCTTTCCTATATCTCCGTCTGTACGTACTAAGACTGTCTTTCACTCCTTCTCTCTTGTACTCGTAGTTTCTAGCTACTACCCTTCTGTCCGCATGCTTCCTGTTCCAAGACCACACCGTCCTCTCATCTCCAGCAGAGCCTTGGTGACTTTGTCATAGCTTGGATGCTCAGACTAAATCACGGCCTGTTCATTAGGGGCGCACAATGCCCTTCTACCTGCTCATATGAGAGACCTAACCGTCGCTCCTCCGCCACTATTGACTCAACCATTCTCATTCCCTCCCTCTCGACAAAACTCAAGCGTCCTTCAAATCCTATGCGTGCCGTGACAAAGTCTGCTCCCCTGTGCCTTGCCCTCATTTCTCAAAGGGATCTCGTTTTGCTGACCACAATGCGCAAGGCAGATCAGCTGCTGTCAACGGGCTTTGCAGACCCTAAATTTACCGGACATCTGGTTGATAGCATCTCTTCTCGTCCTCTCACCATCCCCCGCCCCCACCCCTCCTCACTCTCTTTATCACGATCTCTATCCCTGGAGCTTTGAGAACGCATCTGCCGCCTATCACCTACTACTATTTCAGGCGTAGTGCCTTCCTGAGCTGCGCGCGCAAGGCTCAAAAACAAGGGAGGGTACAAAGAGCGATCGATGGCAATCGACCACTTGTTGAAGCCGAGTATCCCTACTGAGGAGAGGGTAATGTGGTGGGCTGAGGCCGGGCTCTTCAGTCGAATTTACCTGGCAGGCAGGCTCGTAGCAAGATCGTAAGGCTAGCCGTTGCTACTAGAGGTAGAGGATTCGAGGATGCATCCCGCCGCACGTTTGAACATCTTACTACCCTACAATTGCCCGAGCCATTGTGTACTGCTATAGTCGGGCACGACTCACAATTTTGTCTTGTGGCGCTCGGCTCAATGCACAGGAGATCAGTGGGTCTCGATTACATTCAGGATGAAATTATCTAGTAAAACAGCACGTTTTGTGCCTTCGAGGCGCTCAAAATAAACACAGTGGTATCGATTGGAATACAGGACTAAAGAAACAATAACTCGAAAATAATGATACTGGCTCTTCATCTCTCTGAAAGCAAGAAATCACTTCCTCGCAATGTAGTATGTCAGCAGGTTGCGTGAGTTCTCGCGGGGCCGTCCAACAACCTGCCAGAAGTGATCATCGTTATCGGCCATCGTGTGCAGTTGTACGCACAGCTGTGTTGCTTGACGCCTGACATCCGGCTTTCGGGCTGTCAGGCTCTTGCCAGCTAGTGTCCCAACTTTCTCCAGCAGGCGACCGGAAAGACGAATTGCATTGCTGTTCATCCCCTTCAAGATTTCCGTCATAACAGAGAAGCCCATAGTGACCGCCCGATCGCCTGTTTCCGGATCTTCGGTCGATACTAGGTCGGTTACGGCGTCGATAACACCTTCAGGCTCACACTGTACAAGAATCTCTTCGGCCGTCTCATTCAAACCGTTGATGATGTGGCTTGAAGAGTCGTAATAATTCCTAGCAACGATAAGAGCTGTGATAGCCCTGGGGTAGTAAGACGAACTAAGGTGCTTGTTGTGTGCAAGCATGAAGCGAATCGTCAAAAGCACTTGGGTTTTCAAGTCCAGCGGGCGACCGAGGCGTTGTTGCTTCTCATCCGGAGGACTCTCCAGTTCTTCGAGCAGAGCCAGCAGCATCTCGTCATACTTTCCTTCATGGATAAAGATAGAGTCGTGATATTCGATGAGGCCTTGCAACTTCCGATACCCCAGGATGTCCATATTCTTGGACCGAATCTTCTGAATACCCTTCTCGAGCATTTCTCGTGCTTTGACTGGGTCTTTCGATCGGGGGCTGATACTTCTTTTGCGGTCGGCAATCTGGTCATTCTTCCGGCGACGAAATTCAGAGCTAGCTGTCGACTCTGTCGCCCCGACCGATTGGCGTCCACGATGCGAAGGCATGGTTGGCACAGCCGGCTTGCTATCACGATGAACTGATTCATTTATAGATAGTTCTGCCAAAGCGCTGTTATTGGATACATGTTGAGGCGTAACAATGGGGGTAAGAATGGGCTCGTCGTCTCCTTTATTGGATACATGTTGGTGGATATGGATATGCTCCTCTTCTTTTTCGGAAGTAATGATAGGGTCTTCGTAAATTTGCACTTCCCTTCCTCTCATTGGCGAGGAAAGGCTCTCACCCAGTGGGGCCTGTCTGCCAGGTTCACCGGATACCTTCTTTTCTTCGACTTCATGATGTTCGTGCTGAGTCCGTTCTTCTCCGAGTCGATGGTCTGATTGAGGTCTTTCTGCCTCGAGTCGATAGTCTGACTGGGGTCTTTCTGTTTCAAGTCGCCTATCTGGTTTGCCCTCTGTTTCGAGTCGATGGTCTGCTTGGGGTCTTTCTGTTTCGAACAGCCTGTCTGGTTTGCCCTCTGTTTCGAGTCGATAGTCTGGTTGGATTCTTTCTGTTTCAAGTCGCCTATCTGGTTTTCCTTCTGCGTCAAATTGATAATCTGAATGAGGTCCTTCTGCATGGTCTGAGTGGTGCGAATGGGGATCCGAGACGGGGACATCGGGGAAGGACTCGCTGGTGTGTTCAAATATTTGTCCTTGAGTTCCATGAGGCTTCGGGCCGCCGGTGATGTGCTCCTCAGCTGGAGCGCTCGGAGACTCGACTGGGCGGGGGAAACCTTCCTGGACGGAGTCTTCAGAAGCAGTCAGCATGGGTACCACAGTAACAAGGGGACTTTCCGACTGGGCTTCGGCAGGGCTATCATGTTCATTGGGAACAATAGGTACCTGAAGAACCCCAGAGGATTGACCACCCATGTTCTCCTGTAGACCACTATTCACACGACGTTCCGCAGTCCGAGTCTTGGCAATGTCAAGTTTCTTAGCCTTGGCCTTCGCTGTGCTGGCCGCGGGAACCGTGTGGTGAGCATCCGAGCTCACTTCGAAAGCATTGGATCCTACTGAATGTGGCTCTGCGGTCACTGGGCGGCTCAGTTCAGGTCTACGAGCCTTGCTCGCAGGACGCATCGGCGCCGACGAAAGAGAAGATATAGAAGAACCGACGGGCACCGACCGCACCGCAGGCTGGCCACGCTGCAGGTCGGGCACGTTTGTGTCGGAGAGTACGGACTGTGCCGATTCTGGACGCTGTTGCTGGATGGGCTTGGGTGCCAGATGCGCCTTCTTATGCGCCGCAATAGCTTCCTGTAGGGCCGAGCGACTTTTGATAGAGGAAGTGCCGCTTGCGACGCCCTTGCGAGATGTGTTATCTGACTTGGATGAAGTATTCGGGTTTCCAGGGTCTTTTTCGAGCTGAATCCGAGACTTAGAGTCAAGATTGGAGAGGATCCTGTGCCGCGTTAGTTGAAGTAAACATGATGGGAAGAAGAGTGGTAAACATACTCGTTCCCCTGGTTGGGCCACATGCCAAAGAAGACCCAGAAGGTGCCGCGCATCGCCTGTCTGACAGCTGGGTTGGCGTCTGCGAGTCCCTTCTTGAAGGCCTTTTCGAGCAGCTCCAGCCCGCCTCCATGCTCAATAGAGGCCTTCTGAGCCGCTTGTTTGTTGAGGATGATTTTGAACCAGTCAGCTGAGAAAAGTCGCAACTGAGTATTCTTATCCTGCGAAGCACCAAAGACGTGTTGCAGGATACGAGGAGTGTATGAAACATGCTGAATGACAGTCTCCACTGTCATCTTTCCGTTCTGTGCTGTAATTTTCTTCATTCCAGCGCACAGCTTGATGAGATTTTGCATGATGATCTCCATCATGGGATCTATCTTGGGTCCGCAAAACATGGCCATGTCCTGAATGAATAGGCAGCCATTCGTTGCCATAGTCGTACGAAGGGAATTGACGACCTTGAAGATACCGTCTAGAATGGACTTCAAAGCCGTGATGAAAGTATTTGAGTGGGCGACAGGCGCATTGCCACGGACCAGTCGGCGTAGCAGCATAACGTTCTTCTCACGCTTTGCCCAATTTTCTTCCGACTCACGTCCTTCGAAGTGAGGAACCATGGCGCGGATGATGTCTTCAATCTCACGCGAGGAGGAAACATTGAGTGGCTCCACGCTATCACCATCGTTGGGCGTCAATGGAGTTGCTGGACAAGAATATTAGCTTCCATTATTGATGCGGGATAGGAGCAAACTCACCTTCAGAAGAGTGCTGCGGAAGCGGGTCTGCTCTGGATACAGGACGTTTAGGTCCATCGACTCTCGACACAGAACGTTGAGAGGAAGATTCTGGTCCGCTAAGTCCATCAGCCCGCGAGGTGGGACGTGACTGAAGAGCTTCTGCTCTGGACATTGGACGTTTGTTTCCATCCGCGCGCGACATAGGACGTGGATGAGCCTCTAAACTAGAATGAGGACGTTGCGTGATTCGGTCTGCTCGATGCATGGGTCCTCTATTGGGTTCAAGATCGGCGGGATCGAGATCAATTTGGGTGAGGATCGCGTTGACGATTGTCTTTCGTACACTGCGGATGCTAAGCTGATTCATGAGATCCGCTTTTGCGCGTGCCGACGCACCAGATGCTGCGCTGTGGGTTCATTAGTCTCCAGACTAGGTTGAGATCAAATGGCTGGAAGCGTACCCAAACAATTCAACTACAGTCAACTTCGCTGCGTCTCGTACGGCCGGGTCCGCATCTTCGAGACAGTTGACAAGCTTCGCCACATACTGACGAAATCGCAAACCATGCGTTCTAGACATCTACAACAAGAAGGAGGCCGTCAGACCCCCGCCAAATATAGAAGAAGGAGGACCACTTACGTTGGAAAGCCATATCAAAGCCATTTCCTTTGCCCTGGGGTTTCTTCCGACCAGGGCGGTATCGAGGACGTAGTGTTCTACCTCGGCGCTCGCAGCTGGCCAGAGCTCGGTGAATGCTTGAGCGGCCTGTGCTCGCACACGTTCTCTGTTATCGCCTAAACGTTCGAGAAGTAGTGGTTGGAGGTTGCGACTGTAATTTGCAATCAAATGCGGTTGTCGCTGAATGAACAGGCGCCTGGTCAGGTGGCTGAGCATATTAAATGCAGGCGTGATGATGTTGCCATGTGGTGAGCTTATGAAAATCCGCGCCGCCTCGAATGATGGCGGCACCGCCGCTTCAGGGACATTCCTCTGTTTGATCTCCGATTTGTAGGCCACCAAAGCACCGATCTTCGCCTCCAGGGATAGGTAGTTGTTTTTGGCAATCTCCACCAGCTCTAAGGCTTTGGCTTCCATGATGTTATACAGGACGGTAAGGAGACGGCGAACTTCGTCCCCAGACAGAGTGACAACAGTAAAGAAAACGCAGAAGGGGACCGCGGATATACGAAGGATCCAAAGGAGTTCGAGCACAACTCTGCCAAGGAATGACAAAATTCCGCCGGTGTGATATATCAAGGTGAGGACCGCAGCGGTAACCACCGCTTTCCAGCGTCTATCATCCATTATGAGTTAACAACGTACGAAAACAGTAATCCAAAAGGTGTTTTTGAGTGTTTATTGGGGTTTTCCAAAAGCTGGGCAAAGAACAGCAAGAAAGCAGAGAGAGCGCAGGGAGAACGAGAAGCTGAGAAAGCTCGCAGAAACGCTTGACGGACGTGTGTGTATAGAGGTGAGAGAGGTTGGGAGAGTTGAAGAGGAGAGGAAGTCGGGGGGGGGGGGGAGGGGGGGCGCGGCGGAAGGTCGGAGGTCA